TATTTATTTATTCAGTATATCAGACAAACTCATACATATAGTCTCTCCATAGTTATATACTGCTGACGTGTTTATTTATTTATTTCGCTTATCAGACAGATTTATACATATAGTCTCTCCAATGTAAGATATTGTTGACGTGTTTATTTATATATTCAGTATATCAGACAGACTCATACATAGAGTCTCTCCAATGTTATATATCTTTGACGTGTTTATTGATTTATTTCGTTTATCAGACAGATTTATACTTATAGTCTCTCCAATGTTAGATACTGTTGATGTGTTTATTCATTTATTCAGTATATCAGACAGACTCATACATATTATGTCGCTTATGTTAGATATAATAATTGTTGACGTATTTATTTATTTATTCAGTATATCAGAGACTTGTACGTATAGTCTTTCATATGTTAGATATTGTTGACGTATTTGTTTATTTATTCAGTATATCAGACAGACTCATACATATAATGTCGCTTATGTTAGATATAATAATTGTTGACGTATTTATTTATTTATTCAGTATATCAGAGACTTGTACGTATAGTCTCTCCAATGTTAGATATTGTTGATGTGTTTATTTATTTATTCAAGTTATCAGATAGACTTATACATACAGTCTCTCCAATGTTATATATTGTTGACGTGTTTATTTATCTATTTCACTTATCAAACAGATTTATACATATAGTCTCTCCAATGTAAGATATTGTTGACGCGTGTTTATTTATTTATTCAGTATATCAGACAGACTCATACATAGAGTCTCTCCAATGTTATATATTGTTGACGTGTTTATATATTCATTCAGTATATTAGAGACTTGTACGTATAGTCTCTGCAATGTAAGATATTGTTGATGTGTTTATTTATTTATTCAAGTTATCAGATAGACTTATACATACAGTCTCTCCAATGTTATATATTGTTGGCGTGTTTATTTATTTATTTCGTTTATCAGACAGATTTATACATATAGTCTCTCCAATGTTAGATATTGTTGATGTGTTTATTTATTTATTCAGTATATCAGACAGACTCATACATATAATGTCGCTTATGTTAGATATAATAATTTGTTGACGTATTTATTTATTTATTCAGTATATCAGAGACTTGTACGTATAGTCTTTCATATGTTAGATATTGTTGACGTATTTATTTATTTATTCAGTATATCAGACAGACTCATACATATAGTCTCTCCAATGTTATATATCTTTGACGTGTTTATTGATTTATTTCGTTTATCAGACAGATTTATACTTATAGTCTCTCCAATGTTAGATACTGTTGATGTGTTTATTTATTTATTCAGTATATCAGACAGACTCATACATATTATGTCGCTTATGTTAGATATAATAATTGTTGACGTATTTATTTATTTATTCAGTATATCAGAGACTTGTACGTATAGTCTTTCATATGTTAGATATTGTTGACGTATTTGTTTATTTATTCAGTATATCAGACAGACTCATACATATAATGTCGCTTATGTTAGATATAATAATTGTTGACGTATTTATTTATTTATTCAGTATATCAGAGACTTGTACGTATAGTCTCTCCAATGTTAGATATTGTTGATGTGTTTATTTATTTATTCAAGTTATCAGATAGACTTATACATACAGTCTCTCCAATGTTATATATTGTTGACGTGTTTATTTATCTATTTCACTTATCAAACAGATTTATACATATAGTCTCTCCAATGTAAGATATTGTTGACGCGTGTTTATTTATTTATTCAGTATATCAGACAGACTCATACATAGAGTCTCTCCAATGTTAGATATTGTTGACGTGTTTATATATTCATTCAGTATATTAGAGACTTGTACGTATAGTCTCTGCAATGTAAGATATTGTTGATGTGTTTATTTATTTATTCAAGTTATCAGGTAGACTTATACATACATTCTCTCCAATGTTATATATTGTTGACGTGTTTATTTATTTATTTCGTTTATCAGACAGATTTAAACATATAGTCTCTCCAATGTTAGATATTGTTGACGTGTTGATTTACTTATTCAGTATATCAGACAGATTTATACATACAATCTCTCTTATGTTAGATATTGATCACGTGTTTATTTATTTATTCCATTTATCAGACAAATTTATACATATAGTCTCTCCAACGTAAGATATTGTTGACTGATTTATTTATTTATTCAGTGTATCAGAGACTTGTACGTATAGTCTTTCCAATGTTAGATATTGTTGATGTGTTTATTTATTTATTCAAGTTATCAGATAGACTTATACATACTGTCTCTCCAATGTTATATATTGTTGACGTGTTTATTTATTTATTTCGTTTATCAGATAGATTTATACATATAGTCTCTCCAATGTTAGATATTGTTGACGTGTTTATTTATGTATTCAGTATATCAGACAGACTTATAGATATAGTCTCTTCAATGTTAGATATTGTTGATGTGTTGATTTACTTATTCAGTATATCAGACAGACTTAAACATATAGTTTCTCCAATGTTAGATATTGTTGACGTGTTAATTTATTTACTCAGTATATCAGAGACTTTTACGTATAGTCTCGCCAATGTTAGATATTGTTGACGTGTTTATTTATGTATTCAGTATATCAGACAGACTTATAGAAATAGTCTCTTCAATGTTAGATATTGTTGATGTGTTGATTTACTTATTCAGTATATCAGACAGACTTAAACATATAGTTTCTCGAATGTTAGATATTGTTGACGTGTTAATTTATTTACTCAGTATATCAGAGACTTTTACGTATAGTCTCGCCAATGTTAGATATTGTTAACGTGTTTTATTTATTCATTCCGTATGTCAGACAGACTTATACATATAGTCTCTCCAATGTTAGATATTGTTGACGTGTTTATTTATTTACTCAGTATATCAGAAAGACTCGATCATACATAGAGTCTCTCCTATGTTAGATATTGTTGACGTGTTTCTTTATTTATTCAGTATATCAGACAGACTTATACTTATAGTTTCTTCAAAGTTAGATATTGTTTACGTGTTTATTCATTTGCTCAGTATATCAGGGACTTTTACGTATAGTCTCACCAATGTTTGATATTGTTGACGTGTTTTATTTGTTTATTCCGTTTATCAGACAGACTTATACATAGAGTCTCTCCAATGTTAGATATTGTTGACGTGTTTATTATTTACTCAGTATATCAGACAGACTTATACATATAGTCTCTCCAATGTTAGACATTGTTGACGTGTTTATTTATTTACTCAGTATATCAGACAGACTCATACATAGAGTCTCTCCAATGTTAGATATTGTTGACGTGTTTATTTATTTATTCAGTATATCTGACAGACTTATAGGTATAGTCTCTCCAATATTAGATATTGTTGACGTGTTTATTTATTTATTCCGTTTATCAGACAGACTCATACAGGCAGTCTCTCCAATGTAAGATATTGGTGACGTGTTTATTTATTTATTCAGTATATTAGACAGACTCATACATATAGTCTCTCCCATGTTAGATATTGTTGACGTGTTTATTTATTTATTCAGTATATCAGACAGATTCATACATATAGTCCCTCCAATGTTAGATATTGTTGACGTGCTTATTCATTTATTCAGTATATCAGACAGACTTATACATACAATCTCTCCAATGTTAGATATTGATCACGTGTTTATTTATTTATTCCATTTATCAGACAAATTTATACATATAGTCTCTCCAATGTAAGATATTGTTGACTGATTTATTTATTTATTCAGTGTATCAGAGACTTGTACGTATAGTCTCTCCAATGTTAGATATTGTTGATGTGTTTATTTATTTATTCAAGTTATCAGATAGACTTATACACACAGTCTCTCCAATGTTATATATTGTTGACGTGTTTATTTATTTATTTCGTTTATCAGATAGATTTATACATATAGTCTCTCCAATGTTAGATATTGTTGACGTGTTTATTTATGTATTCAGTATATCAGACAGACTTATACATATAGTCTCTTCAATGTTAGATATTGTTGATGTGTTGATTTACTTATTCAGTATATCAGACAGACTTAAACATATAGTTTCTCCAATGTTAGATATTGTTGACGTGTTAATTTATTTACTCAGTATATCAGAGACTTTTACGTATAGTCTCGCCAATGTTAGATATTGTTAACGTGTTTTATTTATTCATTCCGTATGTCAGACAGACTTATACATATAGTCTCTCCAATGTTAGATATTGTTGACGTGTTTATTTATTTACTCAGTATATCAGAAAGACTCGATCATACATAGAGTCTCTCCTATGTTAGATATTGTTGACGTGTTTATTTATTTATTCAGTATATCAGACAGACTTATACTTATAGTTTCTTCAAAGTTAGATATTGTTTACGTGTTTATTCATTTGCTCAGTATATCAGAGACTTTTACGTATAGTCTCACCAATGTTTGATATTGTTGATGTGTTTTATTTGTTTATTCCGTTTATCAGACAGACTTATACATAGAGTCTCTCCAATGTTAGATATTGTTGACGTGTTTATTATTTACTCAGTATATCAGACAGACTTATACATATAGTCTCTCCAATGTTAGACATTGTTGACGTGTTTATTTATTTACTCAGTATATCAGACAGACTCATACATAGAGTCTCTCCAATGTTAGATATTGTTGACCTGTTTATTTATTTATTCAGTATATCTGACAGACTTATAGGTATAGTCTCTCCAATGTTAGATATTGTTGACATGTTTATTTATTTATTCCGTTTATCAGACAGACTCATACAGGCAGTCTCTCCAATGTAAGATATTGGTGACGTGTTTATTTATTTATTCAGTATATTAGACAGACTCATACATATAGTCTCTCCCATGTTAGATATTGTTGACGTGTTTATTTATTTATTCAGTATATCAGACAGATTCATACATATAGTCCCTCCAATGTTAGATATTGTTGACGTGCTTATTCATTTATTCAGTATATCAGACAGACTTATACAACCACAAGAGGACAGGATAGGAAGTGTTTATAAGAAAGTGATGTTAAAACAGTTCACTGATGGTTCTTTCCGAAGGGAGATTAAACCAGCACCATGGATGGGATATGTTGGGCCTACAATTAAAGGAGAAACTGGTGATGTGTTGTATGTTCACTTCCGGAACTTAGCATCAAGGCCTTATGGACTTCATCCTCACGGTGTACAATATTTTAAAGACAGCGAAGGTACTTTATCTCAGGTCTTTTTACATCAAACTCATATTATTTTGCTTATAAATATTTATTTAGTGTACATTATATAGTTATAATCTCTGAATTATAATTATTATGAAAGGAGATGCGGTGTAGAAAATTTTAACCAAACGACACAAATTACTAATTCCAGGGGCCGGTTTATCGACTAGGACATGTCCTAAGATCATCTTATCTTTGTCCTAAGTGGGTTTATCAGACATGTCGTAACATAGGAAAAGTCATAGGAATCGTCCTAACTTTAGGACACCTATTTGGGTGTCCTAAGATGGTCTTAGGTTGTCCTAACTTAAGGATATATTTTATGATTGTTTATTTGTAAACACATACGACCTCTACCTATATATGTTTATTTAGGAAGTATTAATAATTTGTGTAGCAATAGAACGCGTACGGACTGTTATAATTCACTAAACTATTTGGGTGACATTAATATTATACGCATGTATGGATTATCACGTCCTTAACACAGGCGTTTTGAATCCCTCCTTTTCTAAATATTTTTTTGGTATATTTCAATTTTTATAAGTAAATGTTTTTTTTGTATTTTGACCTAATTTCACTATTTAAAATGTTCTTACTCTTATTCAAAAGATATTACAAAAACAGTAGCTAGTGTATATGTGATGCCCCTCTATTCATAGGCATCATATATATATATATATAAATAAATCACATTCAGTAAATGAACATGTAGGTTCAAATTGTTAAAACACAAACAAACAAACAAATTCAGAAAAAGGGGGTGGCACCCCCAAGCGCCTGTGATCCGTAATGAAATAATGTATGTACTCCGTATCTAAATGAAAGATGCACGAGATTTGCATTTGAACTCTGCAAATTATAAAACCATGACACTTCGAATTAAACTCGCTCTTAAATATATAATGAGTGTTACCGATAACTTTTATTACAAATAATTTGTTCAATTATTGTATAAACTTTTGTGTTTTTTTTTCTTAAAGTTTGAATGTATAATTATTATATACATATCATTTATTGTTTTGATATTGATACACATAATATTTCTAATCTTCAATCTTATAATCATTTACTACCGGTGAAATTCGATGCATTCTTAAACATTTAGAATTTTAAAATCCTATTTTTCTTTACGCTTATACTTAGGACAGTAGTTAGGATATCCTAGCTAAGATAGTCCTAATATAGCTTTAATGTGCATACTGAGACATGTCGTAAGTCGGTCCTAACTTTATCTTAATTTATTTCTAAGATAGGTCGTAGGACAGATCCTAGGACAGCTTCGATAAACAGACCCCATTTTAACATGAAATATTTGTGAATGGCGAATGTATGGATACCCTCAATATATATGCATCTTCCTTATTAATTTCAATTGAAAATATATGTTTAACACAATTCGTCTCAACTTACATAAATCAAACATTTACAATGGTAATGTTTGGAACGTTTGAGTCAAATTCTGTTTTTATATATAAATATATATATATATAAAGAATGTGGTATGACTGCAAATGAGACAACTATCCCCCAAAGTTCATATGAAGTGTAGGTTATCAATAATGATTACAGGCAACCGTACGGCCTTCAACAATGAGAAAAACCCATACCGTATAGTCGTCTATAAAAAGCTCTGACATGAAACAATTCAAGTGAGAAAACTAACGGTGTAGTTTATAAGAAAACAATTTACGAAAAACAAATATGACAGACATGAACCAACGACAACCACGGAATTACAGACTCCTGACTTTAGACAGGCACATAAAGAATGGCGGGATTAAACATGTTTGCTGGCGCCAAACCCTCTCCCTAACCTGGGACAGTGATGTAACAGTACAACATAAGAACAAACTATGAAAACCAGATTAAACAAACTATAAAAATCAGATTAAACAAACTATAAAAATCAGATGAAACAAACTTTAAAAATCAGATTAAATGTGCTTAATGCATCAGATCGAAACAAAGCACAACAACTGTCTAACAAAAACCAGTCCGGACGGGGCAGGGAATTTATACATCCCTCATGTTGTTTTTTTTAGGTATGTCATAAAAATTGGCTGCTGGAAAAATAGCTGCTGGCTTGGTTGGCTGCTTAAAGTGTCTTTCATAAAAGGTTTATATCTTTAAACCCGACTTCGAAAATATATTCCTTTAATGTTTTGTAATCTGTAGAATTCATCAATCTGTAGAATTTCTGACAAATATTAAATCTGTAATGATCTTGCAACCGTTCCGTTACCTCTCCACCACCTGATCCCTCTAAACTTTGCAAAAGTATCCGCCAGTAGCATCTGCTACGAGATTATCCGCCAGTAGCATCTGATACAAAATTATCCGCCTCTAGCAACTGCTACGAGATTATCCGCCTGTAGCATCTGATACAAAATTATCCGTCTGTAGCATCAGGTAAAAGATTTTTAATTAAATGACCAAAATATTAATGTGGTCTTACCTTTGCCAAACAATTGTGTTACCACTGTCAAATGATCTTCCTATTTTTAGAAAAATTATCTTTTCTTCCAGTTCATTTTTATTTTATTGCTAACAAATATGATCTATTACATTCTGCTTAAAGTAGTCCGCGTTTCTTCCGCCATATTAAATCGAAAATAGTAACAAACGATCGACTGTTAATGAAATAAGCAAATTTTGAGGCAGGAATGCAAATTAATTTGTAAGACTATCATTAACTTAACGATAATGATGTGATTTGATCTTATTATTTCGACTGTTTTTAAAAATACAGAAGACATTTTGATTGATTCAAAAAATTGTTAACTTTACATCATACGGGGAAATAACACAGGTAATTCAATCTTATAAAGGAATGACCAGCAATTTTTTACTATTCGGTCATAGCATGAAGAAAAGTACGATGAACATTTTATTCTTATTTTAACCTCAAGCATTTAAAAGAGAAAGTTTCTGATATTTTATATGAAACTGTCTTTCTATTCTCATACACTGTAACTATGCCTTTTCCTTGCATAATCTTTACAAAATGTCTTTCTATTCACATAACTATACATTTTCTATGTATAATCCTAACAAATTGTATTTCTTGTCGTTGGTTAACGTCCAGTGACAAATACTTCATTCATGTCTAGGACGACTAATGGTTAAAATGAAGTTTAATATTCATAAATGTACATACATTCTACAGTACATAATCATACACGTAGAGGTTTGATATTCATAAATCACATATATTCTACAGTACATAATCATACACGTAGATGTTTGATATTCATAAATCACATACATTCTACAGTACATAATCATACACGTAGATGTTTGATATTCATAAATGTACATACATTCTACAGTACATAATCATACACGTAGAGGTTTGATATTCATAAATCACATACATTCTACAGTACATAATCATACACGTAGAGATTTGATATTCATAAATCACATACATTCTACAGTACATAATCATACACGTAGAGGTTCGATATTCATAAATCACATACATTCTACAGTACATAATCATACACGTAGAGGTTCGATATTCATAAATCACATACATTCTACAGTACATAATCATACACGTAACGGTTTGATATTCATAATTCACATACATTCTACAGTACATAATCATACACGTAGATGTTTGATATTCATAAATTATATACATTCTACAGTACATAATCATACACGTAGAGGTTCGATAGTCATAAATCACATACATTCTACAGTACATAATCATACACGTAGAGGTTCGATATTCATATATCACACATTCTACAGTACATAATCATACACGTAGAGGTTCGATATTCATAAATCACATACATTCTACAGTACATAATCATACACGTAGAGGTTCGATATTCATATATCACATACATTCTACAGTACATAATCATACTCGTAGAGGTTTGATATTCATAAATCACATACATTCTACAGTACATAATCTTACACATAGAGGTTTGATATTCATAAATCACATATATTCTACAGTACATAATCATACAAGTAGAGATTTAATATTAATTTATTGAATAGGATCGTTGTACATGGATGGCACTTCCGGTAGAGATAAGTTAGATGATGCTGTACCACCAGGACAGACGTATACATACAGATGGTTCATGCAAAATACGTTTGCCCCAACAGAAGATGATGAGAACTGTATCCCTGTTGGCTACCATCCACATATCAGATCACGCAAAGACATTGATACGGGGTTGGTTGGGATCTTACTGATATGTAAACCTGGTAAGGTTGTCTACAATTAAAAGTTTGGTTATAACTAGCAAATGTATTCATATCTGGTAAGTAATCTTAGTGTAAGCAAGTAAATGTATTAAAATCTGATAAGTATACCCCACATGGTGCTAGTACCAGCCCGAACTTTCACTAATGTGCTAGCCTTTGCTCGGTGTTGAGGGTATTATTTTTACTTTGAGATGAAGAACAACATTCAAATGTATCTTTGTTTTATTTTGTTAAATGCGTGTCGGGATTTTGTGTAACGAATCATACTCATACACAATGTACTTTTGTTGTCGTTACTTGCATCATATTTTATGATTACTAACCTGTTAAGGTTATATTATTCGTGACAAATAAATAAACATAAGAAATATTTATAAGAAAACAAGACCAAAACCAAAAAAATAATCCCCACACTTTTTGGCAAGAACAAAAACAAATATAGAAAATAAAACTTTAAGAAGAAGCTTACTTACTTTTATAGTCTCTTTCGAAATCTGGCCCTCCCCCACACTTTTGAGTCTACTCATATGCCACTGAATGTTTTTTTACGTGCAGATAGTGTGTCACGTTGCCTACACGCGACGTTGGAATTAACGTCCCCATTTAAAACGGGAGAGCACCTAATACTTATGAGCTGTGAATGTTTATCTAATTACATACTTATCAGTTGTGTCTATTGTATGGGTCATTTTCAAAAAATGTCGAATTTTGAAATTGAAATATTTATTTAAAGTTATCAACCCTCTTCATAAGCAAATCAAAACAAACAGTACTTATGGAACAATATATAAAAAGACGCAATCTTGATAAAGTCATACAAGAATATATTTAAACATTTTTTGATAGGTGGTACAATATTTTGTCTCTTCTGTTACCATGTTCAACAGAAATTTCCGGTTATCTAGAAAACGTTTCGATAAAATTTTAAGCTTGTTTTTCATTGCCAATAAGATGGTTTTCAAGAGTAAAAACTTCTATATATTTCAATCTGTGAAATGAAAGATTATTTGTCAATATCCCATGTCGTACTGAAAAATGCCTCTAAAAATTGGATTTCAAAGGTTATAAAAATAAACACCGGTAATGCAAGTCTACGATAGTATCTCAATATGTTCAGCATTTTTTCTCTTTCTAATAAACCCAACATCAAGTAATTCCTCCGCATGTTGGTTTACTTTTGTCTTTATTTTATTGGTAACAAGAACGTACGTTAATGATATATCACCACATTAAGTTCTATCCTGTTGCCCTTTTTGTCTATCCTGTTACCGATAGCAGTATTGCATCTTCAAATGCTAAATTGCAAAGATTAAGACGTTATAACCTTTAGATGAGTTCAAACAACGAACCATTTCATTATGTGTACAACTGTATGTAATTTTAAACTTTTTAAAAGACGTTTCTGTCAAATATTGTCTTTCCTGTTACTGTAACAATAGTAACAGGATAGACATAACAGGATAGACAAATTTCTTCATTTATGAATGCTGTTGTGAAATAACTACTCCCTTTGATGAAGTGATAATGTTTTTCTTTTGTGATTTTGGTTTCCAACACGTTATTGCACTATTCACAATATATATTGGTATAATATTGGTGTAATTAATAAATATGTTCAACTTGGTAACAGCATAGACATGACAAAAGGGTACCCTCTAATTTGTTTCACTAAATGTCTTGAAATATCTTTTCTCTACACTGTTATGCAAAAAACGTGCTGTGTTAAGTTTTTAGGTTGCCTTGACCTTTTGAAAACAACACTGACTAGTTCAATATTCGTAGGGAAAAAAATTAACGGTTGATTTAATTAGCGGTAACAGGATGGACATAAACTTCATGTTCGCTGATTGAATTTAGTTTGTAGAAAAAATGTTACATAGAATAATAAAGAAGCTGCGATTTTTCGTTAGAGTTATTATTAACATTCTGAAAAAGTCCCTTTTGCAGATATCAAGGCAATCAGAAAATAGGAAAAAAATCATTTGAAATGTGTTACCCAGACACTGTACGCACATAAATTACGCAAAAATCAGACTTAAATATATTTTAATCTTATCAAAATAGATATAAATCGTGTTGATTATTAATGTTCTGACTCATAAATTATACAAACTTTCATTTAAGCACTTACAACTGCATTTTTCTTCAGAAATAAAAATTTTAGCATAGGTGCCAAGGCTCCGTGTTGAAGACCGTATTTTGACCTATAATGGTTTACTTTTATAAATTTTGTTTATAAGTTATATAAGTTATCACAAAGTGTGTTGATACGGTAAGGGTTTTTGCTTATTGTCGAAGGCCACTTGATGATCTATATTTGTTTACACTCTCCTCCCTTGGTTGCTGGTAAATAGTTATTTACATCCTCGTCCCTTGGTTGCTGGTAAATAGTTATTTACATCATCGTCCCTGGGTTGCTGGTAAATAGTTATGTACATCCTCGTCCTTTGGTTGCTGGTAAATAGTTATTTACATCATCGTCCCTTGGTTGCTGGTAAATAGTTATTTACATCCTCGTCCCTAGGTTGCTGGTAAATAGTTATTTACATCCTCGTCCCTTGGTTGCTGGTAAATAGTTATTTACATCATCGTCCTTTGGTTGCTGGTAAATAGTTATTTACATCATCGTCCCTTGGTTGCTGGTAAATAGTTATGTACATCCTCGTCCCTTGGTTGCTGGTAAATAGTTATTTACATCCTCGTCCCTTGGTTGCTGGTAAATAGTTATTTACATCATCGTCCCTTGGTTGCTGGTAAATAGTTATTTACATCATCGTCCCTTGGTTGCTGGTAAATAGTTATTTACATCCTCCTCCCTTGGTTGCTGGTAAATAGTTATTTACATCCTCGTCCCTTGGTTGCTGGTAAATAGTTATTTACATCATCATCCCTGGGTTGCTGGTAAATAGTTATGTACATCCTCGTCCTTTGGTTGCTGGTAAATAGTTATTTACATCATCGTCCCTTGGTTGCTGGTAAATAGCTATTTACATCCTCGTCCCTAGGTTGCTGGTAAATAGTTATTTACATCCTCGTCCCTTGGTTGCTGGTAAATAGTTATTTACATCATCGTCCTTTGGTTGCTGGTAAATAGTTATTTACATCATCGTCCCTTGGTTGCTGGTAAATAGTTATTTACATCCTCGTCCCTTGGTTGCTGGTAAATAGTTATTTACATCCTCGTCCCTTGGTTGCTGGTAAATAGTTATGTACATCCTCGTCCCTTGGTTGCTGGTAAATAGTTATTTACATCATCGTCCCTGGGTTGCTGATAAATAGTTATTACATCCTCGTCCCTTGGTTGCTGGTAAAAAGTTATTTACATCCTCGTCCCTTGGTTGCTGGTAAATAGTTATTTACATCCTCGTCCCTAGGTTGCTGGTAAATAGTTATTTACATCCTCGTCCCTTGGTTGCTGGTAAATAGTTATTTACATCATCGTCCTTTGGTTGCTGGTAAATAGTTATTTACATCATCGTCCCTTGGTTGCTGGTAAATAGTTATTTACATCCTCGTCCCTTGGTTGCTGGTAAATAGTTATTTACATCCTCGTCCCTTGGTTGCTGGTAAATAGTTATGTACATCCTCGTCCCTTGGTTGCTGGTAAATAGTTATTTACATCATCGTCCCTGGGTTGCTGATAAATAGTTATTTACATCCTCGTCCCTTGGTTGCTGATAAATAATTGTCTCATCGGAAAACATACCACTTCTCCCTGTTTTTATAGTAGCAAAAAAACACTACAAATCGGTAAAGATAGTTTATGTTCCTTCCAAAACTGGATTTTATAGCGTCAAAGACTAACAGCGGGATTGATGTAACGGTTATACCAGAAGAGTGCATCACTTCCTATCTGAGCAAATTTTAAAACAACATAAACATTGATTGTTGCAAAATTAACAAAACGAATCTATAAAAGAAGTGAAGATAGTATACAACCTCTGCTGATACCAACGTTCTGGGCACTTCACAAAAGTGTACAACCTCTGTGGATACCAAACATTTTTGGCACTTCACAAAAGTGTACAACCTCTGTGAATACCAAACATTCTTGACGCTGCACACTAGTGTACAACCTCTGTGAATACAAACGTTTTTGGCACTTCACACTAGTGTAAAACCTCAGAGAATACTAAACTTTCTTGACACTTCACACTAATGTGTAACCTCTGTGGATACCAAACGATCTTGGCACTTCTCACTAGTGTACAACCTTTGTGATTACACAACATTCTTAGCAATTCACACTAGTGTACACCCTCTGTATTGACCCAACGTTCTTTGCACTTCACACTAGTGGACACTTCTGTGGATACCAAATGCTTTTCGTTATTCACACTTGTGTAAAACCTCTGTGGATATCAAACGTTCTTGGCAATTCACACTAGTGTACAACCCCTGTGGATACCAAACGTTCTTGGCACTTCACACTAGTGTACAACCTTTGTGGATACCATGCGTTCATGTCAATTCAAACAAGATAAAAAGTAAAATAACGAAAATAATAAACTCCAAGAAAAATTCATACGGAAAGTCCCTTATCAAATGGCAAAATTAAAGCTATAACACATCAAACGAACAGAAAACAACTGTCATATTCCTGACTTGGTACAGGAATTTCCTTATGTAGAAAATATTGGATTACATCTGGTTTTATAGCTAGCTAAACCTCTCACTTGTATGACAATCGCATAGAACTCCCATAATATTGACAACAATGTGTCAGCAAACAAATAGACATAATAGGTAAAAAAGTGAATAACCTCTGTGGATATCAGACGTTCTTGGCAATTCACACTATTGTACAACCTCTGTGGATACCAAACGTTATTTGCAATAAACACTAGTGCACTACCTCTTTATATACTAAACATTCTTGGCATTTCACACTAGTGTGCAACTTCTGTGGATGCAAGCTTTCTTGGCAATAAACACTAGTGGACAACATATGTGGAAACCAAAGTTTCTTGACACTTCACACTAGTGTACTACCTCTTTAT